TCTCACATCCATTCATGACTACTGGAAAAACCATAGCTTTGAGTAGATGGACCTTTGTTGGCAAAATAATGCCTCTGCTTTTTAATATGATGTCTAGGTTGGTCATAGCTTTTCTTCCAAGTAGTAAGCATCTTTTAATTTCATGGCCACAGTCACTACCTGCAGTGATTTTGGAACCCCCCAAAATAAAGTCTATCACTGTTTCCCCATCTATTTGCCATGAAGTGATGGGACCACAATCCATGATCTTAGTTTTCTGAATGTTGAGCTTAAAGCCAACTTTTTCACTCTCTTCTTTCACTTCCATCAAGAGGCTCTTTAGTTCTTTGCTTTATGCCACAAGGATGGTGTCATCTGCTTATCTGAGGTAGGTTATTGATATTTCTCCTGGCAATCTTGATTCCAGCTTGTGCTTCATCCAGCCCGGCATTTCGCATGATGTACTTGTACTCTGCATATAAGTTAAATAAGCAGGGTGACAATATACAGCCTTCACGTACTCCTTTCTCCATTTGGAACCAGCCTGCTTCTCCATGTACAATTTTAACTGTTGCTTCTTGACCTGCATACAGATTTCTCAGGAGGCAGGCCAGGTGGTTTGGTATTCCCATCTCTTTAAGAATTTTCCAGTTTGTTGTGACAGGAGTCAAAAGGGTTCAAATCCCAATCCACCCCTTTCTTTTTGGGCCACCTTGGAAAAGTACATAAGTAATTAATCCCTCTTGGGCCTAATTTTCTCATTTATATAATGGAAATAGTGATAATAAAGGTGGGATGTATGGATTAAAGTTAATTGTAAGCGCATACTGCTTTCAAATTGTAGTGCTGCAGAGACTCTTTAGAGTCCCTTAAACAGCAAGGAGATCAAACCAGTTAATCCTAAAAGAAATCAACCCTGAATATTCACTGGAAGGACTAATGCTGAGGTTAAAGTTCCAATACTTTGGACACTTGATGCGAAGAGCCAACTCCCTGGAAAAGACCCTGATGCTGGGAAAGATTGAGGACAAGAGGAGAATGGGGAAACAGAAGATGAGATGGTTGGATGGCATCACTGACTCAATGGAAACAAGTCTGAGCAAACTCTGAGACACTGGAATACAGAGGATCTTGTGTACTGCAGTCCATGGGGTTGCAGAGTCAGACATGACTTAGTGACTAAACAACACTTAAAACAGAGCCTGGGTACGTAGTAAGCACTGATTTGATCTTAGTTGTCATTAGTATTATTATTGTTATATGAATGTAGAGGATTCTGTGTATCTGTCTTCCTGACACTCACCATACTTTTAACTATGTGTTTCATATCTGTCTCTACTTCTAGACTATGATCTTCATGAGTTTAAAGACATTCCTGTATAAGCCAGAGTAGATGATCAGGGAATAATCACTTAATTGTTTTACATGCTGAATGCAGAGCCATCAACCAATCACATGAAATGTAACAGCTTGGAGGAAGAGAAAGTGAACAAGATGCAGTTAGATAGTAGAGATACACATACACATACCATTAAATGGGAGTGAAATATTTAGATTTTGCGTCTCAGCATTGGTATATGACACCCTGTCCTTGCTCATATTTAAACTTAATTTTCTCTTGTGTGTTGCAACATACTAAAAGAGAATGTGGCTTTCTGGGATTAACAATTAAGTACATCAGGACACCATCCTTTCAAGCATTGCTAATAAACAGTGGCAGAGGGAATTCTAAATGTAATTCCCAACTATTGCTTTCTGGTGAAACTGGCATTAGGAATACACATGAAATGAACCACTTTTATATTCAATTGGCTTCAATAACCGCATTTCTTGCCAAATGCCCTGAAAAAACTGAGTGTGCTTCATGTATAAATGCACACTTGGGCTCTGGGAAGCCCAGGCACAGATGTCTGTAATGCTATGTATATTTCTGCCATAAATGCAGCTTTAAAACGTGTTCCACTCCTATCCAGACCTCCAGACAAGGAAGTTGTTAAATGCATTTTTTTTTCTTCTTTCCTGTAAGTTGCCTTTACCTTTGAAATATTGCGAAGCGGTTGTCCCACAGGGTGGAGCGGGAACCCGCAGCTGCAGCGCTTCTTACACTGCCGTCATCTCTGTGGTATGTGGCTTCCTTTCACTCTCAAGCTGGGGAAGATCCCACCCATCCTTTGCATTCCTCCGGAGCAAGTTGTGTCAAGGAAAGGCAAGAGAGGAAGCGATTCCCATCCTCCAGGGTGTAATCAAAAAGGAAGGTTTTAATTAGTTTCTCAGGATGTTCTCAGTTTCTGCACAGAACAGCCCCTCCCTTCTTTGGCATCAGAGTTCTTCTTGGATTATTCAAGAAATACACACAGACTCACAGAAATAGAGAACAGATTTGTGGTTGCCAAGGGGAGGGATGAAGTAGGAGACTGAGATTAGCAGATGTAAACTATTATATAGAGAATGAGTGAATGGCAGTGTCCTACTGTACAGCACGGGAAACTATATTCAGTATCCTGTGATAAACCATAATGGAAAAGAATGTATGTGTGTATAACTGAATCACTTTGCTGAACAGCGGAAATTAGCACAATATTGTAAAGCAACTATACTTCAATAAATTTAAAAAGAAAGACACAATTTTGCTCTCTCGAGAGTTAAACTCTACATATTCTAATGTAATAAGGGGCCATGTAGCGTGTCTTTCCTAGGACTTATCAAGTTGTAATCTTATACTTATTTGTATAATTAGTTGATTTGTGTCCATATCTACCACTATGCTGAGGATTCCATGAAGGCAGGGACATGTCTGATTTTGGTCACCATTATATCCTGAGCAGAAGTTTGAACATTCCAAATTGGGAAAGGAGTACATCAAGACTGTATACTGTCACCCTGCTTATTTAACTTATATGCAGAGTACATCATGAGAAATGCCAGACTGGATGAAGCACAATCTGGAATCAAGATTGCTGGGAGAAATATCAATAACCTCAGATATACAGATGATACCACCCTTATGGCCGAAAGAGAAGAGGAAGTAAAGAGCCTCTTGATGAAAGTGAAAGAGGAGAGTGAAAAAGTTGGCTTAAAACTCAATATTCAAAAATCTAAGAGCATGGCATCTGGTCCCATAACTTCATGGCAAATAGATGGGGAAAAAATGGAAACAGTGACAGACATTATTTTCTTGGGCTCCAAAATCACTGCAGATGGTGACTGCAGCCATGAGATTAAAAGATGTTTGCTCCTTGGAAGAAAAGCTATGACCAAACTCAACAAATAGTTGAAAAATAAAACAATAAAAGATGTTATTGAATGAGCCTCCACTGTAGCAAACAAAACAGTCCTTGAAAGATAGGAGGCTCTCAGAGACTGCTTCCTCACAAGGTTGCTAGAAGGAAAATGGTTGATGCTATGAAGTCTCTTCCATGGTCCAGACACTTAAATAAGTGTCACATTTGTTGTATACGGTAATAACTCAAACAATCCTTACAACAATATTATGAGCTAGATTCAGTCATTAGCCCCATTTTACAAATGAGAAATATAAGACAGAGAAAATGCAGGGCAGTGAAATTTCCCAGTGTCAAAAAGCAGCTCAAGTAGAGCCTTGAAGAGAACACGGTCCAACTGGCTTTAGAAACTGGAACGCTCTGCAGAGACTACTTTCAGTCACAGAATACAAGTGGCATAAAATGATAACAGTCTTAACTGGCAAAAAAATCAATTCAGTTCTGGACAGATGTAGATAAATATATAAATTTCAGGCTGCCCATATATTATATAATATAAACACACTTTTCAAATTTAACAAAGTGAGAGACTGTGTTATATCTATTTTATCACAATAAAAAATACTTAATAATGGATTATGGACATAAAACCTAACTCCATAAAACTCAAACAATAAAACTAAGAAAATCTTTTTAAAAAATGATCATGCACCATTCACGGCAAAAATTTGTTGTTCAGTCGCTCAGTCATGGCCAACTTCTTGTGAGCCCATAGGCTGCAGCATGCCAGGCCTCCCAGTCCTTCAGTATCTCCCACAGTTTGCTCAGGCTCATGTCCGTTGACTCAATGATGCCATCCAACCATCTCATCCTCTGCTATCCCCTTCTCCTCCTGCCTTCAATCTTTCCCAGCATCAGGGTCTTTTCCAATGAGTTGGTTCTTTGCAGCAGGTGGCCAAAGTATTGGAGCTTCAGCATCAGTTCTTCCAATGCATATTCAGGACTGATTTCCTTTAGGATGGACTGATTCGATCTCCTTGCAGTCCAAGGAACTCTCAAGAATCTTCTCCATCACCACAGTTCAAAAGCATCAATTCTTCGGCGTTCAGTCTTTATGGCCCAACTCTCACATCTGTACATGACCACTGGAAAATCCATAACTTTGACTATATAGGCCTTTGTCAACAAAGTGATGTCTCTGCCTTTTAATATGCTGTCTAGGTTGGTCATAGCTTTTCTGCCAAGGAGCAAGCATCTTTTAATTCCAGGGCTGCAGTCACCATCCACAGTGATTTTGGAGCCCAAGAAAATGAAGTGGCAAAAATAAATAGATGCAAAAATTCTCTTTTGAATGCCTTTAATATCAAGTACACTCATAGATATTTAGTGAGCCAAAAATCTGTCTTTTTTCCCTAAAATATCATCTTAAGAAGAGTTATTATCCAGAAACTCAAAAATGATGAGGTACAGGAGAAAAGAAACCTGGGGTAACCCTGCCTAATAAAGCTGCCTCCTCTAGACAGCCCTGCTACCTCTGGACTGTTGCATGAGAGACATATAAACTTTATTTAGTTCAAGGGTTTTTTTTTTTAAGAATAGTTATTATGTGAAGATACAAATTAACTGTGTCCTTCGTCCCAGACTCTATGCAATCCCAAATGACCAAAGAATAGAGGTTAAATCCCATCAAAATAAAGATTTCTGTACAAAAAAATGACTGCATAGTACTACAAAATACATACTTCAATTCCAAATGGGATTTCGGACACAAAGAAATGGGCAGGAAAACAATTCTCTCACCTCCGAATTTCCATTGCACAGCAGTTCATTTTTCTTGTTCTTGACGTTTAATGTATTGTATTCTGATGGCCGTGCACCTCTCTTATCTCTCTGCAAAACTGTAAAATCCTTAAAACAGGAACTGTGTCTCACAGTAAAAGGCAAGGTGCTAGAAAGAAAAGAATAAGATTTTTATTAGTAAGTAGAATCACCATTCACTATTTGTACAACTTTGGGCAAATTATTTAACTTCTCCCATCTTTGTTTTATTCATCTATAAAATGGGGTTGATAATCCCATGGAGAATTATTAGGTAGGCTTTTAAAAGAATACTTGAAACTTGAGTTAAACATGGCAGATTGAAACATACATGCTTTATTCCAGAAACACATTAAAATTTCAGCAAATAAAAGCTTCTTAAATTGATAAGGGCAAAGAAAGCAAGGAAAAGAGATAAGAGAGAGGAAAACAAACGAAAAAAAGAACAGATGTATAGAAAGCAATGGACTGATTTGTGGTAACTGATTAGCCAGACCAGCAAGCATGGAAGCTCTTCACCAGATAAAGTCAGTAAGAAAGTCTGTTTGCCTTTCAGGATCTCAGAAGGCTCAGGCTTGGAGGCAGGAGGAAACTTGGAAGTGAGTGTTGGTGGGGGAAGAAAAGAACACTAATGGAAAGTCTTTGTAAGGAGCAGTGAAACCCTGGATACATTCTGTTCCCCACATACCCAGGTGTCTACCCGGCTTAATGTGACTATTGTTTATGTAAACCTAGAAATGTATAGGCTGAATAGTTATCTGACAGAAAATTATATTATAAAAACAGAAGGTAGAAGTGTGTATTAGGGTGAGATGAGATATTTGACCACTACCTTTCGCTGTAGAAAGTTCACAGGCAATATCTAAAGCTGACAAATAAAGAGCAGTGTAGCATATTATGTAAAACTATGGAGGCAAATACCAGAAGATTACAGGATTAAAAGTGTTTTCCTGCAGGAGATGAGACTTGAGATGGGCAGGGTGAGACAGGGGCTGGTGTTTTGCATTATGAGCCTTGAAGAATTATTTAACTGTTATATACATTTTTAACCATAAGTATTTTTTTTTAATGAGAGCTGGGCTACAAAAGGGAGTCAATAAACATCAGTGGCAGCTCTCTTAATTCCTGTGCATTTTTCTTTTCCTCACATATTTATTTATGTTCATTTTTATTGCCCTATAGGTTCTCCTTCAATGTTTACTAAGTGACTAAGCAAATGAGCCATCAGGTTCATGTACTGAATCACCAACAAAATCTTCTGAAAGAAAGAAAGGAAGGAATGCAGCTATGACCTTAGCTTTTATAATGGAAGGAATGAACTATCACCCAGGAGTCAAATTTTCAATGGTTAATGATTAGTCTTCTTGGCACTATTTATGGGAGGGAAAGAGAAAGAAGCTGATCTAAATAAGAAATCAGGTACCTGTACCAAAGGTGTGGCCTATGAAATATGAGAAGTATGTTCAATCTGAAAAACTCTCTTAAAATAAGATCAGCTATCTAAAAATGAGTGTTAAATTAACCTGACAGCATCAACCCTTAAAACACCCTTCGCTATCACCACTGTGACTTGGGTCCACATTTCCCTGTCCCCATTCCTTTTTCTCCACAAGTATGGTGTTAATTGGTTTATCGGGGGTATTAATCAGGTGATGTAATCCCTGAGTCTGGGCATATTTACTCTTGGGGAGCCTGATACACAAGAGCATATTCACAGAGGTACTCAGAACTTGACACAGCACAAAGCAGCAACCATCACTTTCAAGAACCGATTTCACATTTTGGTTTTGTATTTACTACTGGGTTCTCTTAGGAGTTTTCCATCCCTGTAGTTCTCTCCTCCAGCATACTTTCTTGAGGATGAATGAGGACAAAGAGATTAGAGTAGAAACAGAACAGCAGATCCACATGGGCAAGCTGTTTGCTTCCAGAGTCCGCTCAGTTGCCTCATCTATTTCACGACCCCTGCCTGCAACTTCTTCACTGAAACACACATCAATGGGGGTCAATGATCTGAACATCAACCAAGGAGGAATTACAAGGGTCCACTACTTTGTTTGTATGTTTGCTTTTTTGTTGAAATGAATGAAGGAAAACTAGCACACGAGGACCATATAGTAGATCTCTTTTTTTCCCAAAAGAATTACTTCTGAAAATCCAGATGATGTGCACTTTTGAAGGTTTTTTAAAATTATATTTTCAGTAATAAGAATAAATTAAACTCTCCCTCCCAACAACCATGAATGCAGCTTAGCAAAGCTGGTAACTTATAATTTTAAAAAATCCCCTCAGAAATACAAAACCCAGTCAAACAACAAAGGTTCAGATTAAGCCCGAACCAAAACAACAGATGCCTGGCACCATGTCCTAAATGCCACCAAACAGAGGCTCCCGTGGAATGTATGAAGGAGGGAATTCCAGAGACACTGAGTCAGCCAGAGACACAGGAGCCAGTTGGCTGCTGCTGGGCGTGCCATGGGACTGGGAAAGTCCCAGGTGAAGAGTTCAAGTTTTACCCAACCTATTTTTTATTGAAAATCTTCAATGATAGAAAGCTTTTAACCTTTGCATAATTATCTAAATGCTGGGCTACATTATTTAATAATGATTAAAGGTCCACTTGAAACTAGTATTATAAATCAACATAGTTTAATAAAACAAATTTAAAAGATGATAAGAATGGCAGTCCAAAAGAGAACAAAAGATGTGAAATTATGGAAAAATGTTGGTGGATATGAGCTGTGAATTAACCTAAGCCAATTTTGCTGTTCAGAGTTATTAGGTTCTGGTTCTTTTTAGTAGGTATGTCCTATAGTAAAAGGTATGTGGGTGTTCTTGGTCTCCTTCCTTCAACCCTGCTACCATGTATGACAGCAAGTCTCAAGCTGCTATACAAGCTTCCATACATTTATCATTAAGCCGCCACAAACTGTATCATACACCCAGTACAATAAGCATTATATAGTTCCAGCTTTCTAAACTTGTAGGTACTTGGACTCTATGCTGTGTGAAGTTTCCCCAAGCCAATGCAACAGTATTTGAGAAGCAGGATTTAACTAAGTCCAGGGAAATAAGTACTCCAAATCAGCAAACTAACTGGAGACTGTCAGAGGTAAGCCTAGGATACCATGCTGAAGGGAACAGACCACATGGTTTTCTGTATTTTTATGCATCATCCATGCAAGAATGAGAATTGCTACTTTCATATTTCTAGCTGGTCTATATATCCAAACACCACTAATTTCATAAATGAACATCTATTTCTAATATTTGTTATGCCACTTTACAAACTTTTACATTCATTGCAGCAGAATTTCTTACAATAGCTAAGAGTAGGGCAGGATCTTCTATTTACATGCTAACTAATAAATCAGGTACTGGATTGAAGAGTGTCCCCTCAAAATACACGACCTGACCACTAGAATTTGTGAATGTCACTTTATTTGGAAATAGGATCTTTGTAGATGTAATCAGTTTAAGACAGGATCATACTGGATTAGAGCCTACTTAAAAGGACTGGTATCCTTAGAATAAGAGATGCGGACACAAGGGAGATGTGAACACAACCACATACAGAGGGAAGAACACTTTGTGAAGACTGAGGCAGAGACTTGATGCGTCAATTAATCCACGCCAATCAAACAATGCCAAGAACTATGGGCAGCCAGCAGAAGCCAGGAGGGAGGAAAGGAGGAAATTCTCTTGGAGCCTCCAGAAGGAATCAGCCTTACTGACACCTCAGTTTTGGTCTTCTAGCTCCCAGGACTGTGAGAGAATAATATTCTATTGTTTTAAGCCTGTGTGTGGTAATTTGTTACAACAGTTTTAGGAAACTAATATACCATGAAATACGCATTTCCAGCAAGGGCCACTAATCATCCCAAGGAACAGATTGAAACTAACCATTATATCACAATGTTAATGATGAAGTATTTCAAAGTAAATTATAAGCAACATCACAATACATTAGTAGTGTTGATACACACACACACACACACACACATATATATATAATATATATATTTTAAATAGCTTTACTAAGAAACTAATGACACACATAAGATCTGGATAATCATTAAGTCTGTATTCCAAGTTTTATTGGAAGACACAATGATTTCTATCTCTTCTTTTCCAAAGTTTTGGAGCTTTTATAGGACTTGGCTCATTCATAAGTATAGTTTGCCATTGATCAACAGATACTATTTACACTGCTAAAAGAAGTGAAACTCAATATGTAAAACATCACCTAGCTACACCAGAAATTTTGCTTTTTGAGATGAGGAGATGAACATTTATTTGAAAAAATCCTTTGTGGTTATTTTTTTCTGTTGTAGGCACACCACAAAAAGAAATAAACAGCATCAATTCTTGGATAGAAAATGAGGAATACAATTTATTGTAATTTATCTACATTTTTATAGTTTCTCAGCAATACACAATTTTATTTAAATTCTCATATTTCTGTGCCAATTCAATCTTTGCTCTTAAATCATCCTAAGTCCCAGTTCTGAAATTGGTTTCTGTATGACCTGCAGAAAGCTGTTTGATATCATACAATAATTTGCACCTCCCAAGCTCACTGTGAGGATTCAGTGAGACCACATATGTCATGTGTGAATTTCACATAGTACACAGTGTGAGATAAATATTTGCTTCTTTCTTCCATTAAATACCTTAACCTTTCTTGTCAGATCTCATTTGTTTCCATTTTCTGTTACAGGATCTAGACAAGTGAAGGCATGAGCAAAAATCACAGGAACTCACTCTCTCCTGCAGTTTTACCTGTAGACTCCACAGAGTTGTGGAGCAAGAATGGGCAAGCCCCCAGCCCTGGAAGAGGCAGGGCCCTGCAGGAAGGAGGCTCAGTGGGCTTCCTGCTCTCCTGCCTTCCCCCGCAGAGTGACAGTGGTTGGAAGAGTATTCAGCTGGAATACCTTCAGGACAAGCTCAGTTCTGCCCTTACACTACACCCCCACACCACCCCACCCCATAGCCCAGCATCTCCTCTTAGGACCACAACTATAATGAACTGCATGCGCTACAAAAGTGGGCTCCACCGTGCATGTTAAGGGCCACAGCACTGCCCTGCCTCAGGAGCCAGAGAGAATGGATCCCAACGCAGGAACCACC